TTCACTACCATTTTTTTTTTTTGCCAAATAGAGCTTAAGCCTGAGCCTCGATTTTGGATTGGACCCCATCCAATCCAAAATCAATTTGAACAGATTGGACGGACCAACAACACATATTGGATTGGACCAATCTAATCCAGAATATTTATTAGATTGGATTGGACCTGATCCGTCCATAATAAATTTATATTGGATTGGGTTGGATTAAGACAATATCTGATCCATTGATATAAGATAGAATATAGGTGTCCATGGACTAGGTTTGGATTGAAACCAATCTAAATCAAAATGAATTTGAACAATTGGGCTGTCCACACATTGAATTGGACCAATCCAAAATGGTCCAAAACATTTATTGGATTGAATTGGACATGGTCCATTTATAATGGACTCACATTGGACTGGATCGGATTAGACCAAATCCAGTTCAATTGACAACCCTACCTGAGCCTGGACTACATAACATGGTCCTAATCGGGCTTCCAGGCCCATCACTAAATAAATTATATTTAATGTACAATATTGTATATTATATCATTATATGACATATAATGTATGAATAGGTTGGGCCTGTGCACAGAACTTAGGCCCAACCTGGAATTTCGTGGATCAAAGTTGGGCTCTACTTCCAGGCTAGGTTAGAAATTATCACCCCTAATCCAAAGGCCATTTTGGCTATGTGCCCATCTTCATTTGGAGATCTAATGGGCCCTTAAAAAATAGCATTCTTTAACCGTTTGATACACAATGCAAAAAGGCCTCTTAAGGTAAGCTTCCAATGGTATGTTAAACTCCATTTAGGGTTTATTTGGTTTATAGTCGGAATTGGAATCAGAATGGTTTATTTCCATAGTTTATTTGGTTCAAATAAGAATCATAATCAGAATTAAAATAAACTGAAATGGTGTTATATTCCTAAGGAAGGGGGAGGGAATGGCTATTCTCTAAAATGGGGGAATGCCATTCTAGCAGGATTGGGAATAGGACTGCAATTCCACCTAATTAAAAAGTAGAAATTGGAATGATCCATTCTGATTTCAATTCCAGACCCCTATTCCTGCCAATTAAATGGGCCCTTAGCTCTAATAAAATGTCATCAGAAATGAGGGATTACTAGAAAAGACAACAAATCAACAAAAATGAATTTTCTAAACCTAACCCTAACTAGCGTCCATTACAACTTGGGATTGATGTATTGGTCGGATTTGAAAATCTTCTCACTATTGTACTTACTTAAGGGTATGTTTGGTCGCAATTGAAGTTGGACTTGGAATTGCCTATTCTCATAATTTCTTGGTCTAGATAGGAATCCGAATTGAAACATTTCCAAGGGAGATTAAGGGAAATGTCATTCCCTCAAATGGGTGATGCCATTTTCACCAGGGCTGGGCTCGGAATCGGGCCTGGATATATTCTATTAATACAGAGGCACAGTCCGGCCCATAAATAGGTCTTACTTTTACATGATGGAATTGGACTAGGATTTTACAAATTGAATCCAATTAATCTGTATTTGCCTATTTGATTTAAAAAAAAAAAGAGTAATTATCCAAAACCAACCATCACTTTTTATTAATTCTCTTAAACTCACCATAATTTTTTAAAACATCCAATACTATCATGTCAGTGAGATAACGGTAATTTAACTAATAAGCATCATTAATTTACTATTTTACCCTTCATTATCTCCTGCTTTGCTTTCTTCCTCTTCGATGACTTCTCCCTTCGCTCTGCCGCCTTCCGCCCTACTTTTATCTTCTCCCATCTATCGTCTCTCTCCTTATCTGCTAGCAATTCAATTCAAGATTCAACACTGAGATTGCCTTAGTCTTATTCCCATACCATATTTTGCTGTTTGTCTCTAACTCCAGGAGAACCGGTACTAGCAGTAGTCTTTCGTATCTGCTGCGCCTGCATTAGGATGGTGAATTGTTCTCTGTCAGTGGACCAATACGACGACTCACGATCAATTGTTCGGTGTCCGTTTCCGTCGGCGAATTTCTCAGTTGCGGTCAATTTGCGGAGGAAAGGACAGCATGGATGCAATGACGGGTCGGTTCAGTTGTGGGAGACTCTAGTGTATGGTGCAGCTTTGGACAGGGGCACGGCTGTCGTCTTTGTTAAAGGCTTGAATCTTCGGTCGTACAGGGAATCGGATCCAACTCAATTCCGTTGCCACTTTGGTTTGGGGGATTTGGATAAAGGAAGTGGTTTTTCTCTCACGACTCACGCCGTTACAGCAGCTCAGGAAGTCGTCTGGTGCTCCCTCCCTCTTAGCATTAGAAAGAATCCCGATAAAGCTCAAGAAATCTGAGTCACCATTAGTGTTGCCTCCCATTCCAATACCAACCACCGATCTGCTTCTGCTCGCGTTCCTCTGCCTTCGGTTGCTAAACTTTTTTACTCCAACAACAACTCAAAAGGCAAATACAAGAGTAGGACAAATAAGAGGAAGAAGTATGAACTTTGCGCGTAACCATGCCTCGTCGCTTCGGGAGTGGATTGTCTATCACGCCTGGCTTGGTGTGGAGCGCTAGTTCATCTATGACAACAACAGAGTGACAACATTAAGGAAGTAATCCACGAGCAAGACCTTGGCTTATTTCCGCTTCTCTTCTATTTTTAGTTTTCATCTCCCCGTCCCTGTCTGTGTGTAACTTTTTCTTTCTCTTGGCAGGATTATGTTCCAACTGTTTTTGATAACTTCAGTGCAAATGTTGTGGTTGATGGCTAGACCGTAGACCATGGATCAGGTACCATCTGTGAAGAAGAATCATTAGATTCCTTCTATGAATCTGTGGATTGGGATTCTTCAGCATTTTCAGTATTTGAGTAGTTTTTAGAGGTAAACTCATCTTCAAGTTGCTTACCTTCACTCTGTTCCATCCCTCTTTCTTTTTTCAAGTAAACCTCAATCCGAGGATTAGGTCTATAGTGAAGGAATTGAGGTCTTGGGGAAAGATAGTTGGTTTTGGGATCGTAAGGAGGAAGATACGGATCAACATCAAGAGGAGCTAAATCAAGGGAAGCCAAACAAGGCTTTGCAGCAAATTTCTGGGTTTCTAACGTCTCTGATTTGCTTCTGCTTTCTAAACATACGTGAGAATGAAAAATTGCGTCAACTTCGTACCAGTCTCTTCAGTAGATTCCAATAGATCCATGCAATGCAAGTAAGAGGGGATTGGGCGCTTAAGGGCATTTTGGTCAAAACAAATGTTTAATAGGTCAACTCACCATTCAAGGGCAGTTTAGTCATGAAACATGCATTTAAGTTGACGTGGACAACTTGAGTCATCTAATTTTAACGGTATTCTAATGGATGGTGAGTTTTAGAAAATAAAATCTCACTAACATGGTGAGTTTTGGACAATTTCCAAAAAAAGTAAAAGAAAAAGAAATGGAAACCAAATAGTTTTAACAATCAGATTGCATGTTTAGATCCATTCTGATTAAAATCTTAATCCAATTATATTACAATATGGGATCATACAACTGAGGGATGCTCATCTCATCTCCCTCCCTTAGCCCCTAATTCTAGTGGCAATAGGATTTGATCCCAAATGTCTAAGATGAGGAGCGAATTTGAATCCAATCATATCATCATTATTATCATCTAAGCCTGCTAAATAATAGAAACACATAAGAGTATACAAATGTTTTATATTTTTAACTTTTTAAATAATTAATAATTATTTATATTTTATATACTACTTTTGATAATTTTTATAATACAAAAATAATAAATAATTTCAAGTAGGGTTGTTTATCAAATCGATAAGCTTTGGTTTAACAATTTCTCAACCCAACCAAGTCGGATCAATTTTGCTTTAGCCATATGTAAATCGACCAAAATGGATTGAGTCACCCATATACATACATACATACATACATACATACATACATACATACATACATACATATATTTAATATAATTTCTTTAATACGCAAAAGTGGGAAAATTACCATATTTCTTAGTTTAAAATATTTTATATCGTAAATTTAATTTTTAATAATGTCACTGTATTTTTTTTAGTTTAGATCTTTTGAATTGACTGACCAAATCGAAAATCGACCCAAACCAATACAACCCGAGTTGGCCAGTTTTCACTAATGGTTAGTTAGTTTCAGTTGACCAACTCCCCAACCTAACCATGTCGATTTGGTTGGCCAAAATGCCTACAACTGAACCGAACCAACTTGTGAACATTCCAAAATTCAGCTAAATTAATAGTTTAATTTCTAATAAATAACAATAGTTTAATCTCTAATATTTATTGAAAATTTATAACAAAAATATAAAATTATTGAAAATATATTGATAATGAAAATACAATAAATAACTAATAAAAATGCATTAACTACAAAAATACAACAAATACTAAAAATATATATTAAATTAGTCAATAAATAGTGTAATATAAAATAATAGTTTAATCTCTAATAAATATTAACCAATAAATAATAAAAAACATACAATAAATACAATAAATTAAATTTAAAAAGCTAAATAACAGTAGTTTAATCTCCAATAATTATTAAAATTTTTTTATTAAATAACAAAATAAAAATATATTTACATAATTATTGAAAATATGTTTTATCACAAAAAATGTATTGTTTAGTATATATAAATATATAATAAATACAAGGGGTGCTAATAGAATGGCAGATCTTCTTGCCAACCTAAGGGTGCATAGGGATCAATTATTCTGGGTTAAGTTGTAATTTTGCATTGTTTTTTGAGGCAACATCTAGCGCCTTTATGTGAGATCTCTATTATGTAATTTTTATTGTCTCATATTAACCATTCTTAATAAATCATTTTATTACTTATCAAAAAAATAAATATGTATTAAGACTTTAAAATTATTATTAATAAATATTAATTTTTTTGAAAATTATTTTCTAAAATTATTAATTGATATAACTTTTCATTAACGTTAATAACTTTAAAAAAAAAAACTATTAATTGCTCTTATTGTGTTACTGTTCTGTCTGTTCGGTCCAAACTGTCTACTCTTCGGACTCTCTTTGGTCTTCTCTCTCCACCGCTTGAGCTAAGCTGCTGGTTCTGCAATCCCGCCATGAAAAAAGGAAGAAAAGAAAAGGATTTCCAACTTAAACGGGAATGGATTGTTAAACCTCACAATCGTGACCAAAATATCCCACAACGACCCAATCCAGAAAACTTATCTGTCCTCGTTTCTCCTAAAGAAAACCCCGATTCCTCAGCTGTACCCACTTCGGATTTTGCCGCAAAGGCCCCAACAGTACAGTTGAATCGTCCGTATTCTAATGGGCTTAATCGTAACCGGATTACCGTCAAAAGTCCGGCTGTCGATGCCCCTGAAGAAGGTAATTCTGTTCCGAGCAAGCAAAAAGAGGAAGAGGTAGAAGAAGAGAAATTGAAAGATGGACAAGCGTCTGTTTCGACGAGCAATTCGAATGATCAATCAATTGAGGATTGTGATTTATTTAAGGAGGATAACAGTATTGAGAGTCGACTGGGAGAGCTCCAATTGAGTACTGAAGAGCCCGAATTATCAGATGAGCAGCTGAGAATCAATGACCAGTTGCAAGAGGAAGAGGTATTTCGATAATCTCTTAAATGCTAAGTAAATTCAGATAGCATACTTTTGGGTTGGGGAGCTTATAAGATTAATACATCCTTTCGTTGGAGGAATATACTTCTGTACTCTTGAATATAGCAAACCAGCTAACCAACGAACTTAAGCCAACTAAATGGGCACGGGTGCACTAATAATTTCCATTCCACTCTATCAAAAGCCATATCCATTGTTAAGTTGTGAGGGCTCAAATCAATTCTCACAACCTGAACCTTATCTATAGGTACCATGGTGTTAATAATCAGATAAGTTCAGTATCAACAGATTATAAACAAAGAATATAAACAATTCCTAACTCTGAACAGGAATAATTAAAAGAATGAATTGGGTCAGTCATAAAATAAACAGGATGTCAAGAACAGAGGACTTCCTGATGAGTTTGCAAAGTCAGGGTTTTCAATAAACAAAGTAGTATTACTGTCCACATTATTCCACTTACGTTCAATGACCAATAATCTTAATGTTAATATCGTGAGACTTATGCCGCATCCCTCTTTTTAAGTAATTGTTCATTGTATCATGAATCTACTGATTTTTTCCACCATATCTGCATTCTTATCCTAATGTTCCTTTTCTTTAAGTACCTTAAAAGGAGAATCATATTTAAGATGGGTCTTATAGAAGAAATTGCATTTTCCTGTCTGTTGGTCAACTTTGTTACCATTACTGGAATTTAAGGGCTTGTGAAAATTCAACTCATCCCTAACCTCAAGTCCCAACTATTTGGGTTGGCTATACTAATCTTGCCCTGCCAATGTGCTCTATCAAGAGCCATGTTTTCTGTCAAATTGTAAGTCCTCAGATCATTTTTTAGCACTTCAGGCTGTGTTCTTTGGTCTCCCCATTGCTCCTTTAGAGCCCTTTACTTGCACCAAGTTATTAATATTTACTAAAACTGCAATGCATGTATTTTGTCTTAGTTTGAATTATCCTGATACCTTTTATTCTAATGCATTTCTCCATTGTTTTAGCTTTACATTCAGGTCTTCAGCTCATCTTTGGTGTTCATCAACTAATATTATATCCTTAACAAGCAACATACAGCCATAAAATGTTTAGTTGGTCCATCTAGAACTAATGCAAAAAGAAGATTGTAGCTTAGCATTTTATCTAGTTGATGTAGCGCGATCCGGTCACCCCTAGCTGGCACTCACGTGGCTCCCGGAAGGTACCTGAGATGAGGAAGAAGAAGAATCCCCGGGGAGTTTACCCGGTGGGGATACTCCGATGCTTAAGTTAGTACTCTGTAGGAGAAGCAAAAAGGAGACGAAGGCTAAGAGTGCAGATAGCGCGTTCTCACTATACTCGAGAGATTAGAGGTCTCAAGAAGAAGTTTCTCTTCAGCCCTAAGGGCTTTTATAGGGGCATTCACGTCAGGTCACGCATAACCACCACTGGGCTCCTGCCACAGCCGTTACCTGCCAGGGCTGCGCAGGTGGCCGTTGTGGCGTACGTCTCGCCCGGGTGAGTGACACGTCACCGAAGTGGAAGGCACGCCTTTGCCTGCTGAGAGACGTGGATGCAGACTGGCGAAAGGACGGGGACTGCGCCGTCAGTAAGGGATATGGCGCAGTTTGACCGGTGTGGTCTGTTAGTCAGAAGCTTCCTAAGGAGCGCTCATGCGGCTCATTCGCGAACTATTTTGTAGCGAGCTTGGAACACTCCAAGATTACCCTGAGTAGAATTGGTCCTTGGGATGACTTGTCTGCTTGGGAGCTCGGACGAGCTAATAACTTTAGCTCACAAGCTAATAACTTTAGCTCGCGAGCTAAAGTTGCCTCGGAGTATCTCTTCAAAGGTAGCTCGGGGAACCCGGGGCTCGCGTTGTGGCGATCTTCTCCTTTTGTGAGCTACCATGTAGCGAGCTGCTTCATAGGCCCGTCACTTGGTCGCACCAGGCTATAACGCTGAGTTGTCGCTCGTGCTGAGTCAGTGTCCATGTGTCACCGTTTCATAGGTTGGGTCAAATCGTCCTCCATCAATTGCCCCTCACTCCTCGGGCTGAGAGCACTGTCTTAGCGCGGGGAGTTTATGAAGCGCGATGGACTGATTTGACCGAAATTCAAACTTGATTGACTACTCACATTAAATGCATTCGCGGGAATCAAGAGATTTTCTGACCTTCCTGACTTTTCGGATTCTGAAAACGTGCTGAAGTGGCTCTTAACTCTGAGCGTCGTGCGGCCACGATTACCTTAATCATGGAAGACGTGCCGCCAATCACCTTCAGTTTTCAGAAGGCATGCAGTCAGTGCCCCCGCGGGCTGTTGGATCTGCTTTGATTCGGGCTGTCAATTTGGAAGAGTGGAGACTATAAATAGGGGGCCTTCTGGGCCTCATTTTCTTCCACGCCATCTTGCTGTCTTCGGATTCTGAGGTCGCGAACTTCATCTAGTCTACTCGAATTCCTCAATTTGCTTTGTTCCATCTCTTTCGGTGAGTCTCAATCACTGCCAACCATGTCTGGGTACCCATACCGCACCTACCACTGGGGCGATAACTAGGACGACGATGCTTCTTCGAGCTCGGGGGGAGCCTGGGAGCAGATCCTGGAGGCTCGGGAGGCCTCCGGCGATGTAGCATCTACTTCTAGGGGGAGGGAGCCTGACACTTTTGGCCCTTCCTCCATGACAGCGGAGAGACTTAGGTCTCTAATCCGCTACTTTCACCTCCCTAGGGACCTGGTCTACCGTCTTCCTACTAGCAACTTCCCTTGGGAGCATGGTCCCAATGACATAGTAATCTTCCAGGAACAGCTCGAGGTTGGCTTGCGTCTCCCCCTGCACCCCTTGATAGTGGAGGTGCTAAATCATTTTAACGTCACCATTGACCAACTTCATCCCAACGCCATTCGAAACATGGTTGGGACTATATCTTTGTGTTACGAGTACTTTCTTCCCTTGAACCTTGATATTTTTGCCTCTATCCTTTGTATAAAAAATGCTGCTCCTGGGGTCCCTTCGGAGAGGCGCTTTTACTACCTCTCTCCCCGTCGCGGCTATAAGCTCTTGTACGAGCTGCCGAATAAGATTCCCGCCTGGAAGCGGGATTACTTTGTGGTCCGCAACCTTGAGGGGTGGCCCTTCCCAACTTCTTGGAGGGGCGCCATCCAGGACCCCGGGGCCGAGTTGGACCCGAAACTCGGAAAACGATGCTGTCCTGGGCATCGGTAGGCTTCCTCTGCTCGGACTACTTGGCCGAGGAGAAGCTCGTGCAGGCCGGCCTGAGCCAGGGTAGGTTGTCTTTTTAAGTCGCGTGGTTTTTGTAACGACATCGTACTCACATTCGCATGCATATATTTCATTCTTATTGAACTAACACTGATGCCCTTCTTGGCAGCCATCATGTCTAGCATTGATTCGCGCCGCCTTCTCTCGAGCAACCAGAGGCGCCATGCGAAGAGGACGCGCCCCGACCGGATTCCCCCCTCGGGAGGTACTGAGTTCGGGTCTGCCGAGACGGTTTTATCCTCCCCTTCGCCTGAGATTCCGGCACCCCCACCCGAGGGAACTAGTGGGGTTGGTTTCGGAGGGGACGAGCTCCCTCAGCAGGGGGAGTCTCCCTGTAAGCCCCTCCAGCCATGCCCTTACCCCCGGTTCCCAGTGGGAAACTGGGAAGGGGTGAACGACTACCTCGTGGCTCGCCGGAGGAGCCGGAAGGCGATTAATAACGATGAGGTCGCTCACTGGGGGAATATGGAGCCCGAGGACCTCGCTGCGTTCGCCTCCGCCCACTGCATGGTGGTAAGTGACTCCTTTCCTTTTTCTTCTCTCATTTTGCTCCCTTTCACTGTCCTTTGATCTTCTCTTCTGTTGGCAAGTGAATTCCGCCATCCATGCCATGGCTCTCCAGACGCGCGTCCATCGCGTCGATGCCCTCGACTAGCGGACTGCTAATAAGAAGCTCCACGGCGAGCTCGACCGGATTCGGGGCGAGCTCCATCATACTCGCAAGGGGAGCGAGTCTCAAGAGCTGCTCGTCCACGACCAGGAGGCTCAAATTGCCCGGCTTTTTGAAGAGAGCGCGCGTTACAAGGAGGAGTCATCGAGGGTGGCGGCGGAGAGGGAGCTCCTCAGGCAGCAGGTGTGGGACTTGGAGTCCACTCTTCTAAATCGGACTTGAAACTTTGATCAGATGGTGGAAGCTGAACGAGAGAAAGCGGTCTGGGATTTTAGAGACTCCTAGGAATACCACGACCTCCAGGTGGAATATGGTTCAAGTTCGTACCGCTCTGGGTTTAAGCTCTGCCGGTGGCTGGTTCGGAAAAAGTTCTCCGGACTCAACCTCGATGGCATCACTATGAAGAGTCTGTCTCCTGAGACGGCGGACCAAGCGGAGGAAGAGGAGCCTAACTCCCTAGGGGATGAGGATGAGGAGGTGGATCCCTGAGGCGGTGTTTCCTTGGACTTCTGGTGTATTCCGGGTGCCACAAACCCAGTCTTTCAAAGGTCTTTGGTTGGGCGGTTGTGCCCTGTGATAGTCAAACTTTCCCGAGCTGTTTAGCTCGGTTATTGCATTGTCATTTTTCTTTCTCTTTTTTCTCTCCTTTTTTTTTTGAAATGATAATGAAAGTTCTCCCTTTTTTCTTCCAAGTATGATGTGCTCTCTTTATCTTTGCTAAGCGATCTCAACACCCAAGCTATTAGAGCTACATACCCGAAGTAGGACTCTTCGATAATCGTTATCTCGAACTGTTCCTTAAATCATTTAAGGCATCTCTATGGTGCACAACAAAGTGATTACCATGTGTGCCCGAACTATATGCTCGTCGGTTATTCTCTAGTTTGATCATCGTACTAGAACAAGCTATGCTTGGTGGGGTTTAAGCCCGAGCTGTTTCACTCCTCACTTGAAGTTCGCCCATGTCATGGAGACGATTGGGTCTGATTGCGCCGAGATCGTGTTAGCTCGGCATTTTGGCCCTTAGGCTCTGGAAGTAAATTATAGTCCACTTTTGGAGT